TCATGCTCCTCCATCCAAGGCTGGCTAGAAACTATAAACCTTTTTTTACAAACATTCAAAAGGAGAGGATAACCGAAATCAACCGTAAATTCGAGTTCTCTCTATGCAACAATTACTTGTATTGAAGGCAGTTAACGAAACTTTAGAACAGGTAAGATCAAGATGATATAGTTCTTGCTATAAAATAAAATTATTCTTCAACAATTCTATCACTTGAAGCCAAGTGATTCAACCACGTCCTCTGGAAAGTTGCCAAGCATTACGTTGTCGCGCTTGAAGGCCAAGGTCTGAAAATGTCGTATCATGTTGAACTGCTTAGATTAATGTTCCTTTTCTCAGAAATGAGAGACGCACTTCCTTGTCGGAGCATAAAAATCATGTTCATGAACGGAGATAGAAATGGTATGGGCTACAATGTGTCTAGGATTGATGTCTATGATGGAGAAGTTCATAATTAAGTACAGTATTTTTGAAGACCAGACAGTCTATGGCCATTGCGGAAGAAGTAATAATGAACAATAACGAATTATAGAGCAAAGAGCAGAAAAAATTTCATATGTTGTGAGCATTCTATAATAAAAAACATAATGTTCACTTTATCTTATAAGCTAAACTCATTTCCTGATATAAAAAGCAGAAAAAGATCAGAAGTTACTTTGTCAGCCCACACCTTTACCATCCCCCTCAAGTATTTCCTACAAATCATTACTTGGTAATCAAATTACCTCCATGAGTGCGATGTGCTTTCCCTTCGCGTACAGCTAGGAAGTTGTGTGGAATACCTAAAAAGGACAACTACTCAGTTATCAGGAAACGAAAAAATTGTGTTAATTCTACAGTAAAATTTGAAGGTTTAGAGCTCACCATGGAAAAAATCACTTCTTTCCACGCTAGAGAGTCGTGTATGCTCCCATAGCTTTCTACCTAAACAAGATAATATGCTGAGATTCTGTAAATTTTATATATCTTACCTTGAATGGTATCAAAATTAGAATTCCACTGGTAACTAACAGCAATCTCATGGAATATATCTTTCAAACTGGAAATCTTGTTTACAAAAGAAAGAAGATGAAAAGTAAACAACTTTGCAGAGTATTGCTCAGAGAATCAGAGACAGGAAGGAGATTACAAGTAGATTTTTGGATGACATCGATATCGAATGTACAAACAACCTATTAAAATTATCACTAATGGTTACCTGGCGAACGTCATGTATCCTTGAAGATGTAGATATAGATGGGCGAATTAACGCGACGAAACAATATCAAGAAATGTGCGATGATATATTTATGAGTAAGTTTAGGTAGCAAACCAA